CCTCGGGACCTCAACCAAATATACCAAGAAATCCTAAAACATCATACGAACTTAGTCGAATCCTCAAATTACCTCAAACCACGCTAAAACCATGAATTACCCCCCCAATTCAAGCCAATTGAACTTTGAAACTTACCATTTCTATAAACAATGCCGAAACCTATCAAATCACGTCCGATTAACCTCAAATTTTGCACACAAGTTATAAATGACGTAACAGACCTATTAAAATTTTCAGAATCGTATTTTGACTCCGATATCAAAAAGTCAACCCCTGATCAAACTTATAAAAATTCAACTTTCAGCATTTTAAGCCTAATTCCTCTACGGACCTCTAAAAAAATTTTCGGATACGCTCCTAAGTCCAAAATCACCATACAGAGCTATTGGAATCATCCAAATTCAAATCTAAGGTCGTTTATACATAGGCTCATATCCGGTCCACTTTTCTAACTTAAATTTTCAATTATGAGACTAAGTGTCTCATTTCATTCCGAATTCTTTCCGGACCGGAACCAACTAACCCGATAAATCATAAATCAATTGCAAGGCATAAATTGAGCAGTAAATGAGGAAACAGGGTTATAATATTCAAAACGACCGGTCGGGACGTTACAAAACCATTCCAAGTTGTTATAATTATTGTACATTTTTCAGTTCGATATGAACCGACAAGATGTATAACTCGAATAAAAGTCCGAAATTAATCCAACCGACTAAATATTTGCCCTATTTGCTTGGATCGTATAAATAGCAACACGTCTATGTTGTGGAAGAGAGAATGAGCAAAAAAAAAGAAGCAAAAACAAAACGAAACCATCTTGTAATTTGATAAATGCCGATTAAGGTCGACCTGCTCTTTATTTTTAATTTTCTTTTCTTTAGTTAAATCCTTTTTTTATACTGATCATGTTAGCAGTCACATATACTTCTTTTTAATCCTTTACTCTGTAACCATTTCTTTTCATTAAATTTTAGGAGTTTTTTTGTATTTATTGTATTTAAAGCTTTATGTTGCATCACTAGTTTATGGTAAATCTGGTCGACTTACCATGTTTAGTGATTTAATGAAGTGACGATATACATTAATTAATCATGATTGAGTGATAGAGCTCTTTGTGCAAACACATGTCATGTTTCTACAGGTTTTGTGTAAATGCTCGGTGTAAGTAAGTTTTTACCCTAGTTCATTAGTCCTACTTCATTCATCTAGTCTGTGCATTATGTTCTTTTCTCTTAATCATCTTTTTCACTTTAATTTGGATTAGTTTTAGGGGAACTTTACATAACTGTCATAATTTAAAAAGAAATATAACAAATTCTTAGCATGAAATCCAATATTACAGTTGTGGCAGGAACATATTTATATTTGTAGCACACGGTTCCATTAAAATAGGAATATTAATTATTAATACCTAAACATAAGCAATTTGAATAGAAAGTCAATAATTCTTTTTACAAAAATCATGCATTTTTTTCTATTTATCTATTAGCTTTCCTTCTTTTTCTTCATCTTCTAAATTTTGTTTTCTGCCGAAGCCAATATATTTTCTAAATTTATTCCATTCGTTTTCTTTTTAATTATCTTTCTTAAGTTTTTCTCTTCCTTCTTTCTTCCTTTCTTAACATAAAGATCTTACTTCGATAATAATATACGTTAATATATACAAAATGTATATATAAAAAATATACATTGAATTAACACATATAAAATATACAAAGCATATACATAAAAAATACATCTACAATTAAGATGACATTTAGACATGTGAAATATACATACAAAAATATATCTTAAATTTAATTAAGATGGCATATAAATATACAAAAAAAATACATCCTGAATTAAAATTTCACTTGACATATAACATATATTTGAAATATACATTAAAACTATATCTTAAAATAAGATGGCACTTCACAAATAAATATATAACAATAATATACATAAAAAAATATTTTGAATTAAAGTGATACTTGATATACAAAGTATAAAAGACGTATAAATCAATACATCTTGAATTTAGGTGGCATTCATATATGCATTATATTTTCAAAAATGGAGTGAAGAAGATGAATGTTGGAAAGGGAGAATGAAGATGGACAGAAAAGTACTTCCCGTGATTAGTGAGTTAGTTAGCTTATTAAATGTTGAGTTTAATTTTTATAATATGCTAATAATAAAAATAAAAGTACTTTTTATGAAATAAACAATAAATAATACTATTTTTTAAAAATAATAGTTAAAAAAGAATCAAGCGCGTAAAAAACTCTAGTTTGAATCTCAGTACTCTGTAGCAAAGGCTCTTATCTTCTTGTGAACGTGCGTGGGTTTGGTAACTCCAGCTATAAATTCTATAATTATGTTGAAACTAGTCAATTTTACAACCGTGTGAAGAAAATAATAAATTTATGATTTTGATCTTATTATAATTTAATTAAAATATAACATACTGTTAAATCTATAAATATCTTTTCATAATTTTGGAGTATTAAAATAAAAAAGTATTTTTTTCCCAAGAGATTGATAAAAAAGCTAGTAATGTGTACAACTCAAGTTCCCCAAAAAGGTCAAATCAAACCATCACATATATGTTTGTTTCATGCTAAGAAGTAAAAATAAAAAGAAGTAGCGGCGGTGGCACCACCACCACAACAACAATAATCTAGTTTTATCCCACTAGTGGATATGGGGAGGGTAGTGTGTACGCAGATCTTACCCCTACCCTGGGATAGAGAGGCTGTTTTCGATAAACCCTCGATTCCCTCCCTCCAAGAACTCCCCACCTTGCTCTTGGAGTGACTCGAACTCATAACCTTTTGGTTGGAAGTGGAGGGTGGCACCACAACAAAAAGACTAAATAAATATCTTTTAAAATTTTTTACTCGCTCACAATATATTTTTGTCACATTTTTCCAAACCAATTCCTAAAAGTTTAGTCAAGCTGCCTGATAATCCAGTCTGCTGTTGCAATAGGGTTTACTTTACTAAGCATATATGAAAGCTACCGTTCGGAATGTTTCAACGTTTCATTTACTTTTGTTGGTAGTTAGTTCGTGGATCTTATTGCTGGACATAAAATCACAGGATATAAAATTAAAAATTAAAAAGAAAAAAGAAGTAGAAAAAAAAAAGAATACATAATGTAGCTAAGTGAGTCCTTTAAGATCTTTCGTATCCAGTAACAAATGAACAATGTTGGCTTTAGGCGAGTTTTGATACCTGCTCAAAGTTCAACTATGTTTGATCTTACAACTTGAGATAATGAAATAGACAAAGTAATTTCCTATATTCCAAAAGAAGAAGCCATACAAAAAGAGTGTTGCTTGACAAAAAAAATGAAAAAAACTTCACCAAGTTTGAGCGACTCTCTCTCACACGAACATAGAAATTCCTCCTTGATGTCTGTATTGTACATAGCAGTAGACATATATCAATGCGTACATAGATCTCCATAAAGGACTTCTACGATTCTCCTTATTTATGATGAATAGAATAATCTTTCAAACTCTTCAAAATAAAGAGTAGCAGGATAGTCTTCTTTCAATGCTTTCACTCCTCCTTGTATTTCCTTTCTTCTAATGATCAAAGTTAAATTCTTTTTGTGCATGGTGAAGGAGATACTGGAACTCAAATCTGGTCAATCTGGAGATGATAAGCTAATTTCAATGGGGTTATTACAAGGAGAAGAGAGAGGAACCAATGCTTGTTCAAAGGGAAAAGGCACGATATGCTTTATAAGCAAAGAGAATTAAAAGAAAAAGACTCACACATTAATCCTCATAACTGTTATATTAATCAATTTAGGAAGAAGAAAACGGAAGCCACACATTAATCCTCATAATTGTTGTATTAATCAATTTAGGAAGAAGAAAACAGAAGTCATACAAGGAAAACAGAGAGATTTAAGGAGAGTAAAGGAGTAATAAATAGAATTATAACTAAAGAAATAAATCTGGTAACTTTAAATTTCTGCAATTTTTTAAATGGAAAATAAGGATAAAAGAGCAANAATGACGAAATATTGAGTGAAAAGGCAAAAAATCAGGAAAAAAGATAAATATGATTCCCGATCTATGGGGATGCCACATCACCCTTGTTAAGTCCCAGCTTTATATATATATATATATATATATATATATATATATATATAGATAGATGAAATTTTAAATGTTTACGTATGACTGGATTGTTCAACTCAATTAATAAGCAAATACAAATTGAAGTTTATTATTTTAATGTTAAATATAGCCAAAGCAGTGAAGCTGCTATGGACTTATTTTGTGTGTAAAGCTTTCCAAAATATTGGTCAATGCAGTTGATAAGCTTATTAGCAATCTGTCTTGAATAATAAGTATTTATATTGCCCGGGATTCATAAGATATTTATGGAAGAGATCTTGCTGTAAAGAGTGCAATCCATTGATATTAAAAGGAGATTGACCATCTCTTTTCTTGTTTTTTGATTGTTGGATCAATACATCTCTTGTTACTACTTCTGAATAGAAGGGTCGAACTCACAATTAGGATTCTAAGAATTATTGTCAATAGCCTCTTTCTTCTTTTCACCCATCGTTCCTGCCTGAAGACAAAGTTAAAAGAGCCTTTAAGTTATATATATTTTACTTTATTTTATTTTTACTCTCGCACTCTGTTGGTATTAGGTTTCTACGACTACCTGTCATTTCTTTCATTTCAATCATCTTACTATTTTGTTGTTATTTATTGTGTTTTTACATGGCTTCTCGGTGTTGTCCCTTCTTGTTTTTCTTTTAATTAAATATGGTGCTTATGCTTTCTTGAGACGAAGGTCTATTGGAAACAATTCTCTCTATCTCCACAAGGTAAGAATAAGGTTTGCGTATACACTACCCTCCTCCTATCCCACTATATGGGATTATACTGGATATGTTGTTGTTGTTTATTTTTCTTCTCATAAAGCAAAAGAAAAAAACGAACTGACAGTGTTGGTGTACTTGATTTTCCGTTCTTAGGAAGATATGACTCCAGAAGGTACCAAAAGTAAAGGATCAGGCGGAAGTCATGAGGATATAATAAGCATTTTGCCAAGTAATGTGATAGCTTGCATCCTAGGGAAAATGCCTATACAAGAAGCTGTAAGAACCTCTGTTCTGTCTAAAGAGTGGAGATTTTACTACTTATATAATTCACAGTTAGTATATGATGACCAATTTTGGAAAGCACTTGCTCCCTTCTTCGACAGGGGCAATATTTTTTCTGATCCCAAAAACTACAGTGTATTCGATGAAATTGTCACCAAATATCTTCTGCTTCATCACGGCGGATTAGAGAAATTTGAAATATGCATTCCTACTCTTTTATCAGCTGCGTTCCTGATGTGAACAAATAGATACTATATTTATCTCGGAGAAACATCAAGGAATTAACCTTGACTTATGAGAAGGTTTATGCGGATCGTCCTATCTTGCCTCCTTATTTCTTCTCTTGTCGAGACTTGACATTCCTGAAGCTCCAGAATTTTGTTCTTTCGCCACCGCTAGAGTTTAAAGGCTTCCTAAATCTCCACCAAGTAATACTTGATAGCATTGACTTTGCAAACAAATGTTTTGAAAGTTTTATTTTGAGCTGCCCCCTTCTTTTTTTTTATAAGGTTGAGCTGCCCCCTTCTTAGAAGGCTTGTGCTGTTGTGGTGCTTTGGCATTCATCATTTTAATATCAGCGGTCCTAATCTTAAGGAGTTGTATGTCACGGCTAATGATAGGTTCAAATCAATCTCCTTAGAGAAGGCTCCTTACTTGTCTTAAGTTTCTGTTTATCTATGGAGAATTGTAAAAGGCAGTCCTGTCTCCGACTTGGTAATGACGTTTATGGGTAGTTTGCCTAAAGTCAAATTACTTTGTCTCGATGGAAATATTCTGCAGGTTAGTTCTACTGAAATTACGTGTCTATGCCTTATATACCATTATTTCTATAATCAAGTTTGTACTTTGCCTTCAGAACTAACTTTGTAACTGTTCCTAGAATTCTTAAAGTTTTCATATATCATTCTCTCAGCTCCTAGCTGAAACTCCGGTTCCGCCTATGTTATCAACATTGCCATACTTTCTAAATGTTGTTGAACTCAAAGATATAAACTTTGGATCAAATATCTGTTGTTGTATGCTTGCTCAGAAGTGCTCCAAATTTGCAAGAACTTTATATTGAGGTAAGTTGTAACACTCTTAAATCTAATTTATGATAATTTTGTTTTGTAAACGAATAAGCACTTATATTAAGTTTTCGGCTCTATTTTTCGTGTAGGCTTCTACAGTCAAGCTAAACCAAGAACAAGTCTCGGATTATCTAAAACTCCTGGATTCAGATATTTCCCTTAGTAAACTTCGTCTGGTCAAATTAACGAAAATCTCAGGGTTTGTTCCTGACTTTGAGTTTATCCGGTTCCTTCTCTTTAGCTCGCCATCACTTGTGACAATGAGCATCCTGGAGCACCCACAACTTGAAGCAAAACAAGTCGTGAATATAGCTAGGAAATTGCTCCAGTTTCGGCCACCGCCAACAGTGTCTATAGATTTCTCAACGGACATCCAAACTTAATTAGTATCGTAATGTGAGTTTCAGGGAAGTGGCATTGATAAGAGAAATACTATAAGTTTACTGCATGACTTGTACTGATTCGTTAGGCAATCAAATGAAACTGGATTTGTGCTCTTTTATATACTTATGTGAGGAAGAAAAGAACTTCCTTGTCAAGTCATGCTAGCTCACAAGAAGAATGACATCTATAGCAAGTTTGCTAATATTTTACTTCACCACTTGCTGCATAGCTGGCATTTCTGATTTGAGGAAAGCCGCTAGGCAATCATACTTTTCGATTAGCTATATTCTGCTCGGGGACATGATTGCAGTGTTTTCCAGTTAGATTTAGAATTTTGTATGAATATACGAGAATAATTTTCCCTTTTTTTTTTTTAACTCTCTTGTTCCTTTTCTTGTGGAGACAAATATACTGTCTAGCTTCTTCCTTGCTAACAGTGGAGATAATTATCATGGAGTAGCACCAATACCTTAATTGACAAAAAAAACATTAGACATGCATGGCCAGGCCCAAACATCATGAGTGCATATAGCCTTCTTAACGTTGGACATGACTAAACAACAACGTGCTGCATTTTTCCTTGCTGTGGATGTAATTGCTTTTTCAGTCAATGCTAAGCGTTTTTAACTGAAATTCAGGATACACTGGCTAATTCTTAAATAACAGCCCTTTGAAGTGGCTACTTGGTGTCATTTCTACGTGTTTTTACTTTTCTTGCCTATTCTTGAATGGTCTATGAAATGCGACTTTGGTTGAGTGGCGACAGTTTGCGCAAAGAAAAAAAACACTTCTTTTGTGATATTTTATATGTCAATGCCACACAAGAGGGGGAGGTGATTTGTGTGGTATCCAATTTTTGCGTGCACTGATTATAGAAGGACCTGGTTCTTCTAAGTGTTCCTTAACCTGTTGTTGCTGAAATAGTAAATGCGAAAAGTAAAGAACACAAGTATTTTTACGTGGAAAATACCCGGCTCAAAAGGTAAAAAAATCACGACCTACTACTCAGTAGGATTTTCCCCAATACTTCACTAAATCACTGAGCCAAAACAGCATTTACAAAAATTCTTTGTAAACCTAAGGATTACCTCTAATCTCGCCGTGGCAACCAGCCTCTAACTGTTGCGACAACTTCAAGTTAACTCTAACTTGAATACTCAAAGTACCTATTACAATTGCTTTTAGATAAAGCTGAAAGGTACAATTTGAAAATCACTTACTACGATTGAACTAGAATAAAAGACAGACACTTGGAACTGGTTCTTCTATCTGGTTCATGTAGCTTCAGGTTCGCACACTTGAATCACACAAGAATTGCTTGCAAAATACCTTGCTATTTTGCTCTCAACTCACGTTTAACTTCTTCTTTTGTGCGTGCCTGTAGAATGATAACATTCTGCAATATATAAAGTTAGTAGAATAAGAAACAACTAGAGTTCTAATACTAATCTTCCTTGGTGGAAGAGTTCTAGATATCCTCAACTTCTAACTCCTCCCTTATCTTGGATAGTGTTCTCTTTGAGTAAGGAGTCCTTCTTCTTATCAATTATGCAACCTTTTTGTAACGACTCGGCCGGTCGTTTTGAGTATCACAATCCTATTTTCTCATTTACTGCTCAATTTATGCTTTACAGTTGTGATGTGACTCGCCGGGGTGATTGGTTCGGGTCCGGTGAGGTTTTGGAATGAATTGGAACACTTAGTTCCAAGGTTTAAAGCTTAGGATAAAATAGTGATCGGATATTGACTTATGTGTAAACGATCTCGAAATAGAGTTTTGATGATTCCAATAGCTCCGTATGGTAATTTTGGACTTAGGAGCATGTCCGAAAAATTTATTTTGGAAGCCCGTAGCTAAATTAGGCCTGAAATAGCTAAAATAGAAATTTAAGTTTGAAAATTTTACCGGGGAGTTGACTTTTTGATATCGGAGTTAGAATCCAATTCTGAAAATTTTTATAGCTCCGATATGTCATTTATGATGTGTGTGCAAAATTTGAGGTCAATCGGACGTGATTTGTTAGGTTTTGACGTCGTTTGTAGAATTTGTAAATTTCAAAGTTCATTAGGCTTGAATCTGTGTGTAATTCATATTTTTGATATTGTTTGAAGTGATTCGAGGGTTCGCCCAAGTTCGTATGGTGTTTTAGGACTTGATGGTATCTTTGGTTGAGGTCCCGGAAGCCTCGGGTGAGTTTCGGGGTGAGTTTTGAGCGAGTCCGGGCATTTCGGCACTCTGATGTTGTTCTGGACATTGGAAGTGCGGACCACACAATTTCATGTGCTGAGGCACATTTTTGAGTGCTGTAGCAGATGAAAAAGTGATGCAGCAGACGAAAATGTGCGGACCGCAGAGGAAAAATGCGGACCGCACAATTTTGTCTGCGGCCGCACTTCAGGGTGTTCTGCAGGTTCGATGGTCCGATTTCGGAAGCTTATATCTTTTGATCCACAAGGAATTTGGAGATGATTCAAAAACGAAAGTTGTAGCCTTCGTGTCTAGTTTCCAAGAAGGAAAGGAACTTATCATTTGGACATCTGTAGAGAAAGTTATAGCCAATTTACCGAAGCCTCGTAGTGGAGAGGTTGTGAAGTGCGGCCGCACAGTTTTTGTGCGACCGCAGAACTTGGAAATGTGCGACCACACTTGGAAATGTGCGAACCGCACATTGGGAGGTCAGAGAGTGTACTATATAACCGAGGCCTAGGGTATTATTCATTTTTGGACCTAGAGAGCTCGGTTTGTGACGATGTTTCGTGAATTTTTCAAGAAATTCATCGGGGCAAGTGATTCTAACTCGGATTTGGTTAATATACATGAATATATCATTGTTTTCATCATCAAATTAGTATTTTGAGATGAAAATTTGGGGAAAATTGTAGAAATTACATAAAATGAATTTTTGGGATTTGAATACCGATTCAGAGTCGGATTTGAGTGAAAATAGTATGGTTGAACTCGTAATTGAATGAGTTGTCGAATTTTGTGAGTTTCGTCGGATTCCGAGATGTGGTCCCCACGGGTGATTTTTGAGTTAGATTTCGGACTTTGTCGGAAAATTAGTATTTTCGTATGGAATAAATTCTTATGATTTGTATTGACTGACTCAAATTAATTGTGACTAGATACAAGGCTTTCAGAGGCAAATTTGCGAGGTAAAGGCATAGCGGACTAAAGAATTATACGGTTTGAGATAAATAACACTTCTAAACTTGGTTCTGAGGAAATGAATCCCCGTATTAGTGTTATATAAATTGTTTGGAGATGACGCACACGATAGTTGACGAGCGTGTGTACGTGCACCATTGAAATTGTGACTTGAATAAATTCTATGAAGTTGTAAAAATTAAAGAATCATGTTATTATTTGAACATTTCCCACGTGTTAGAGAAATTGAGCTGAGGCTCTTATTAAAGATCATGTTTAGGCTACGTGCCGATATTTTGGGACCCACTAGTCGTTTTGCTATTAAATTAATTATTTTAAAATATACATTTCATACTCAGTCATGCTCATCCATTGTGAGGATATTTATGGGATCTGGCTGCACGCGCGCAACAAGCTTTATTGGCTTTATTACTATATGGATCGGGGTTGTCCGCCTGCAGCAGGCCTTATTGGTTTTATTATTATATGGATCGGGGCTACCCGCCTGCAGCAGGCCTTATAGGCTTATTTATTATACAGATCGGTACTGCCCGGCTGCAGTAGGGCATATCGGCTTTATATTATGCTTGGGCTGAAGGAGCCCCTCCGGAGTCTGTACACATCCCCAGTGAGCGTAGATGATTATGTATATATTCGGAATGGACTTCCCAGGGCATGGACTTGGCTTAGTTATTTATATTGTGATGAATTTTCCTGGACATGGATCTTGTCCGTATCATTTACATGTGAGGGTAAATTACNATGATTTGTGACCAGTAGTACAGGAAGTCTTTCCACTGAGATGTCACATTCCTCATATCATGCAATATTGATCTATTTTTATTGTACTGAGTTTAACTGTTGAACTTGAAAACATGCCAACATTTCTATACCATTATTTATGTATTGGACTGTACATGCGGAGCTCGTCACTACTTTCAGCCCAGAGGTTAGTCTTGTTACTTTTTGTGGTTGTTGTACTCATACTACACTCTGCACCTCGTGTGCAGATCCAGATGCTCCCAGATACGACGGCTGCTAGATTTTGGAGTTATTTCTGTTGGAGACTATCAAGGTAGCTGCTTGATGTCTGCAGACTTGATTCCCTTCCTGTTTAGTTATTATACTATTCTATATTTCAGACAGTGATTTTTATCAGTCAGACTTTGTATTCATTTAGATGCTCATTTACTAAGTGATACCGGGTTTTGGGAGTGTTTATATTTGTATTTATGATATTTCTTCCACTGAATTTAATTATTATGTTTTCAAATTTAAAAGATACGGTGGTTCATTAGGATTGTCGGCTTGCCTAGTATTGAGTTAGGCGCCATCACGACATGTGAGATTTTGTGTCGTGAAACTTTTCGATAAGGAGATATCAGATATAACAAGTTAAGCTTATCTTCTTCACGTGCATTCCTCATGCTCGAATCTGCCCGTGTCTGTGTACACAGGGGATGGACCTGGTTCATGCCTGAGCTTCTTTTGTCAATCTTCAAAAGAAAACTTCACTTGGACCAACAAATTCTCCCTTTTTGATTATGACAAACTCTGTGCTTTTCATAAGCTTAGGCCCTGTTTCAACTCAGCTCAACATCAACACAATGTTAGAACATTTTACCTTTTTAAAGTCACTTATCATCAAGGACCAGGTTCATTAGGTTATAAACATCACTGTCCAAAGTGAAAGCACAGCCTTTTTCCCCTTTTTGGCATCATCAAAAAGGTGCATAATAATGTTAGATAACCAGATTTTAAATAGAAATTACTCATGGCCACAGGGGCTACTTCACATGAAATCATGGAGTCAAATATCATCGATCAATCTAAGGATATTAGTCATCTAAG